TTAAGACTGTTAGAAGTAAAAGGAAGAAATATAAAGTTGGTTTATTTGATCAAGGTTAAAATAAGATATGTTGTTACTCCTGGTTACCCTTTATGGACTTTCTACTGACACCAGGTGTGAAAAGATGATGTTTTATGGATTTGCCTATAGATAAGGGATGGGAGATGAGATGAAGAGATAAATGTTTGTAACCTTAGAGGGGGTGAAGAGTTAGAAGTAAAAGGAAGAAATATAAAGTTGGTTTATTTGATCAAGGTTAAAATAAGATATGTTGTTACTCCTGGTTACCCTTTATGGACTTTCTACTGACACCAGGTGTGAAAAGATGATGTTTTATGGATTTGCCTATAGATAAGGGATGGGAGATGAGATGAAGAGATAAATGTTTGTAACCTTAGAGGGGGTGAAGAGTCACTAAATTTGTTTATACTTGTTGTAATAAAGGTTGGAAGACGTTTCTTTATATATTTCTTTTCTCTTTATTATATCCTTTTTTCTTCCTTCTTTCTCTTTTTTCTTGCAGTTTTTACTCCTTTCTATTCTCTTTTCTTTCTTTAAATTTAGTTTGTATTAGGTTTTACTATTATAATCAAAATTCTTAATAAAATGTGTGTATGTGTGTATACATACACACACACAGTATATATAAATAAAACTATATATATATACTTTATTGTGTGTGTGTGTATAAATATAAAGGAAGTTAAACTTTCCTATGAACTTATGGAGAAAGATAAATTTATTTATTTATTTATTTGTCAAACATATATAGCTGCCCATTTCACAAAACAAGTGACTCTGGGCGGCATACAACAAAGCTAAAACAGTTAATAAATACCTAAAACAATTACAGGTAGCCTTTGCTTAACAACCGTTCGTTTAACAACGGTTCAAAGTTACAATAGCCTCAGAAAAAGTGCTTTATGACCTGTACTCTCACTTAGGACCGTTGCAAACCATTGCACCCCTGTGCAGGCACGTGATCGCGATTTGCAACCTTTTTTACAATGGTCATTAAGCAAATCACTGAGGTCATTAAGCGAATCACATGGTCATTAAGTGACTTCTGGCAAAAAATGTCCATTGGGGAAGCTGGATTTGCTTAATGACCATGTGAGTCACTTAACAACCATCATAAAAATGGTTGTAAAATTGGATCAGGTTACGTGGCAACTTGCTTAATGACTGTCCCACTTAACAACCAATTTTCCGGTCCCTATTGTGGTCGTTAAGTAAGGACTATCTGTATCATTATTATTTAAAAGACATTAAAAACTATAAAAACAAAGCTAAGAAACAGAAGTGATGGGTGAAGAAATGTTAACAATAATGGAGCCACCTCACTAATTCACCAGTCCCCTGGAGTCCCCAGGCCTGATGGCACCACCAGTTCTTGAGAAACCTTCAGAAGGTCAAAAGCGATGCAGCAAGCCTCACCACAGGGGGGAAGATATTCCACAGAAAAGGCCTGCCACCTAAGGCCCACCGAATGTAGCTCCCTAGACAGAATCTGTAGCAAGCCCTCTCTGCTGGATCTGGCAGGATGGGCAGATGTAACTGGGGCGAGGTGATCCCTCAAATAAATGTTGCAAAAATGAACATTAACTCCTACCTTAGTGCCCTTAAGGAATTTTAAATAGATTGATGAATTACTAAGAAAGTGTATATGGAAAGACAAGCCCCTTGTCAGGCCTACATTGGTAGACCAGATTAAGAAACTAATGCCATATAGATCAGGACTACTTTTATTGTAACAGCTATAGTAACAGAACTTTGCATGTCTGAATGTGCTTCCCCCTCCCTCACTTTATATTCATGTTAATTAGGGAGGGGCTTATCTAAGACCTTTTCTCAAGTTATTTTCTTGGCCTGGTCTCAAGTCCCACTTATCTAACCATTGCCTTGGTAGCAGCTCTTCCTCCTGTCTTTCAGGGCCATTCCTTATGCCCCCTACACCTCTATATTTTCTTTATATAAACTGCAGTTATGATGGTTTTATGATGATGGTGAGTAGGTGGCCTTAGAAATCAAACAAACAAACTTTCATGCTTTTTAACTTTATCTCTCGGCATATGTTTTAACTCTTGTTTCCTTGTGGAATTCAAGTGACCAAGTTCAAAAACCACTATGAGCGCAAAACTATATGACCGCCCCCCCCCTTTGCTATCATGCCAGGGACATGGGGCTTGTTTTAGTCGCAATCATACTAGGTTTCCAGCATTAAAGGCTGTAATATTTGTAATACTTATAATATTTGAAAATTATTGGGATGGAAGCATAATTCTGAGCCTTATTCATAAACGTACAATTTGGGATAATCCTAATATGAAAACTGTAGGCATATACATCTTTGTATTTGGGGTAATGGGAGTATTAATATTTTATGTCAACTTACTGCTGTTTAAGTTTTTAAAAGATTTGAGTTGTTGGAAGAGGAATTTGGATTGTTTTAAAATTGTGGAATGGCAGTAGATTCATTTTCATTGAATTTTGATTTCACAATGTAGTCCAGATGCATTAGCAGCATCTAAAACTCCTAAACTATTTTCAGGAATGAAACATTTATTGGGTGATTCTAAATGCACAATTTTCTTTTATGGACAACTGAAGAGTACAGACAGTCCTCTACTTATGAACAGGTTATATTCCAAGAGGCTGTTTGTAAGTCCATTCTGTTGATAAATCCAACCACAGCACACTGCATACATATGCCCGGAAGTTTACAGCATGCTATATATGTACATGTGCATGCTGTAAATTTCTGGGTGTATGTATATGGCATGCCATACACTTCCGGGTGTACATACGCATGCATGCCCTAAACCTCTGGGACCTTCATTGTTGGAATTGTTGGAGGCTTGTTCGTATTGTTGAAAGTTGGTAACTCAAAAGTTCATAAGTAGAGGACTGTCCGTATTGCTAGAGCGTGCATTATTTATATGCAGGAACTGAAACACCCCATGTTAACAAATCAATGGCTAGTGGTCTTACAGATTATTAAATATGTTTCTTGTGATCTTAAGATGAAATTAATTTAACAAAATATTTTTTCATGTTTATTAGATACCATATATAATGTTTTAAAAGGATTAGTTTTAAACTTTATTATGCTGGAAGTCTAAAATGATGGAGGGAACATTTACACATATCTTATGAGGCTTGTCCCACCATGATTTCATTTAGTTTTGATATTCATAAATTTTATAATATGGTTTTGGAAATGATAGTATGATTTTAAATGTGAATGTAACTTTGAATTATATTCCCATATTTGAATTTTATTGTTATATGAAGAATTATCTTAAACATGGAATCTGGTGAAATAAATTATCCTTTCACAAGAAAAGACAGCATCACCCCAGACTGGCAATCTTGGACTGTTCACGTGTTCATTCTCCACTTATAAACTGAATCTCTGTCGACAGAATGGAAAGATTGATCAATATTATTTTGTATGACCAAGGTTTACTGCTGCATTTACAAACTGAGCTGATGTTTTTAATACGTATCATATTTATGTGCCTCTTTTCCATGTTTACTTTTCTTTCTGGATTCCTTTTTGCCTATTTATTAAAGCAATTTTTAAGGAAGTTTGACTTTCCAGTCTCTCCTACAGTCCTGAAATTTCCTAGTGGTCTCCAATCAAGCCTCAGCCAGATTTTCAGCATCAATCAAGGTCACCTAGACAACATATCTAGAATATGAAGAAAACAAAAGTTACATGTTTTATTTTAAATTCCTATCCAACCATAAAGCTTTCTTGGTGACTTTGGGCCAGTCACTGCCTCTCAGCCTAATCTGCCGTACAAGATCATAGCAAAGATAAAGTTGGAAGAAGTACCAGATATTCTACCTTGCGCATCTGAGAGAGGAATGTTTTAATCTAAATCTAATCTACCTAAAGAAACAGGAGCAATCTTCTCCCTATCCAATAAGTAAAAAGCTGAAACAGGAGGCCATTGATGCAGCAAACTCTTATTTGAAACATAATTGTTACCTGATCCCAGTGTAGACAACCTTTCATGTTAAGGAAAATGGTGTTCCAAATTAATGTGGCTAAACACTTGTAGTCAAGGCTGCTTAAAAATAGAGATCAAGTGTCCCCTAGTAAGAGAGCCAGTACACCAAGGCCTTTGCAGATAAGTCTACCAACAATGTTTTATATGATACTGAACTCTTCCCTTTCCCATTCAACATTTTTTGACATCTTGAACATGAAACTCTTTTAAGTTTATGAGTAACAGAAATTTGCAACAGAATCATACTTTTCTCTGTAACTATATTCATAAGAAATTGAGTGACTTTGTTTACAGGCTGTAATAGAAATCAAGAGTTTAGATAACACAGAAGGTAAAGCTCTCCCCAGTCAACTGTAGTCCGATTATATTACAGTCACATGAACATCCTGTTGTCAGCTGTTTATCGTAGCACTCTTCTACAAGTGTGCTGATCAATACCCAGATTGGAACATTTGTTTTCAATGTGTTTCTTATATTTAAAGAGAAGTCAGAGAATAGTGGTATTTAAAAACAGATTTAAAAGGCTTCATCAGCAGTGAGTAACCTATACCCTTCAACAGTTATGAGCATATTGCTACTGAGCGTGAAAATAAACCACATTGCCATGAAAATTTTGCAGTTGTGCGTTTTTACTTGTGACCAACAATTCATTGCATGCAACTCTTTTTAAAAAGAATTTTTCCAGTACATGCAGGCAGAATGACACTTTAGTATAATTAGACTGGTCAGCACAAATATAGCTGAAAAAAGAAAATGTTGTTGTTTGGAGATGATCCCTGAGGCCAGCCATCACTAGCTTGGTAACATCCAATATGTTTCAATTCCTATAATTCCCAGCCAGGATGGCTTCATGGAGAGTACTAGGTTGGAGAAAACTGACCTAAAATATGAAATTGTTTCATTTCCTCTTTGCCAGTTCACCAGTAAGATGGCATAAGGAGCCTTTTGTTAGTTTATTTGACATATTGATAAAGCCTCCATCCACTAGGTGCTCAAGGCAACAAATAAAATTCATGTAAAAACAGAATAACTCAACATTATCCAAACAAAACAAAAAAAAATGAAGTAGCTAGAATATTTCTTGCAGTAAAATCATAAATTGGCATTAGAAACTACTTAAAGCTTGATAAATAGGAAGACCTCCAGTGGTGACTGCTAATAACAGAAAATTTCATAGGCCTTTTATTCTGAATGGCAAATTGGAGCTCAAAACATTGATAAGTTAGGAATAGCAGATGCTAGAACAAACCTTTGAACTTATATTGGTGTGTATTTGTGTGCATTAGCTTCAACATCAGTATTTGTTGCATATCCAAAGTGCTCCCAACATATACATCCTCAATACTGAAATAACCAAAGGCACCTTTCATCAACCACTGTGTGGAATACTGCTGCTTCATGCTCTATATAATGTAAAACTTCTGGAACATCAGACTGTACCTTGTTCCATATGGTAAAGAGTAAGTCTTGCCAGGATCACTTTCATAATGCTCTCTCCATGGCCTGTGGTGGAGGTGGCACCAATGCAATTATCTGCATAACCACCACTTCCTAGGAAGGAGAAAAAAAAAAAGATGGCATTTTCAGTAACCCACCTCACCTCTCCAATTGATATTGATGTATTACATGGTGTAAGCCAGATACAATATCTACTATGTTTTGGGGTTTTTTTTTAACAATGAAGGATTCAAGTGGAATGCACATTGTATCAACATTCACGGAACTATAAAGAGAAAGGTAAAGGCTGGAAAGGAACACCCTCTGATGCTTCCTCACAAAAGAGTGCCTGCTAGGCTGTTTCCATGAAAAAAGCATGTACAGAGAACCTATTTCAATATCTGAACAAACATTCTCAAAATATTTCACACTTTCCACTCCATCAGCTTATCCTGAACTATGGTGTTCCCTAAAAGTTATGAAATCATCACATCTTAGGAAAACATGCCATTTAATAAAAATAGTTTTGTTTGAACTACAAGCCAAACAGTTGCCTGCTGTTTCCACTTCAGTACTTCCCATGTGCACTGTTCGGGTTTAAAAGTAACTGGTTCTATATGGAGCAGAGATGGCCTCCAAAAGACCTACAAGCCCTTATTACCTCTGGAGTGCAGCCTCTGAACATTATGAAATGATTACTCACAATGTGCATTTTATGACAGCGAGAGAAAGACAGACTGTTATTCCATCTAAAGTATTGTTCTCCCCTACCTATGCATGCTGTATCACCAACACGGCCAAACCGTTTGTTAGTAAGTCCTCCTGTTGATGTTGCGCAAGCTACATTTCCTGCACTGTCGATAGCAACGGCTCCAACTGTTCCAAGGTCTCTGCCAAAAATAGCATTTCAGACAATTAGCTGAAGATTTCAAAGCATTTGACAAACGAATGCAGCGTCTGTTAGCATAGGTAGCTATTTTTCAAATATGAAAGGACAACAGGCCATTTTCACACTGAAGCCATGACTCTCTATGCAGGTTCACTTAGAAGACTTCAGATATACTAAAGCAACACAGGAAGGTTAATGCACTGTGGAATTTACACTTAAGCTGCCACAGGCCTTAACTTATGTAAAACTATTGGAATCAGATTTTTGTTCAGTTTAAAGTTTCTTCCTCTTGTTTTCCACAACTGGCCTTCTTTTTTTACTTCGATAGCTTGGACAAATAGGATCTTTCTCCTGGACTACTATCACTCTCATTTTCTTGCAATTGCTTTGGGCTACTGGAGCTACTGAAAAGAAGTAAGTCTAGAGAGGGAGGAGGAGGTAGTGTGCTAGTGGGCATGACGAATTCCACAAATTGCCATTCTATCATTAAAATCAATGAAAATCCAGTATCTTTCAGGAATACGATCAATATTCTTAACAACAAAATCCTGCCAGATCAGATCAAAGGCCTATCTAATGACTGGTCTCAAACTCAAATCATTACAAATGCTCCAGGACTGGTTAATTAGACTGAAGACCACAACACTGGAGCCTTTTCATACATTGATACAACTGTCTCTAAATTCAGGTGCTTTTGAGGTGCATCAAAAAGAATGTAGCACACAATTGTACAACTACACCTCTCTCATTCTCTCAGTAGCTTTTCAGTGCTACTGCTGATTAATTAATAGGTGTGCCACAAGGCTGCCTCTGTATCTTGCTGAAGAGCAACCTTTATGTGAACTGAGGTCTGCACAGAGCACAATGCTAGCAGAACCTGCTTGCTCTCTCTTGTTCAACAATATGCAAAGGGGTTGGTGTGAAAAAATGGTATGTATGCACAGTACAGGTAGTCCCCAGTTTAAGAGCAAGTTCTGTTCCCAAGGTCTGTCCTTAAGTTGAATTTGTATGTAAGCTGTATAAGTAGTATTGTGTAATTAACTTGAATCGTATATTTAACTCAAATTTTGCTACAATAGGTTCCGTTCTTAACTATGGGACATCCTTAAACTGGGCATTCTTAACCCAGGGACTACCTGTAGCGAACTTCAGCAGCCACAATCATGGTTGTTTCTTTTGTTACTGCTACAACAGCAAAGGCATTATTCCACCCCACTCCTATCACAACTGGTTCCAGGCTTGCAGATCCCAGCACTGCTTCCTTATTGAAGGCCCCCCTTCCACCTGAGGTACCCTGGAAGGGAGCAAGGCCATCACAGCTAGGGCCAGGGCTAAGACTTGATCCTCCTGCCACTCAGTGCTGCAGCTTAAGAATTTAGAATGTGCTACCCCCAGGCAGGGTAGACCAAGGGGCAGCTGTACTCCTAGCCCTGCACTGAGATGCCATCACAGTGCAGACGGTATCTTATTCCCATAGCCATTGCTGCACATCTCCTTGCTAAGGCTTTAGAGGGAAAAGCACACTTGGGCTGGGCTCTGACAGTGCCCCAATGCAGGGCTAAGAGCTGCCACCCAGTCTGCCCCACCCAGGTGCAGAGCCACAGTTTTCATTCTAAAACTGTACTGAAGAGATGGCTGCCATAAGCCAACCAGAGCCATAAGTCTGAGTCCCTTATACATCATGCTTTTTTGTCAGCCAAGGAGAACATTGGCACACTTCCATACTACAGTACTACTGGCTGTCACTTTCATGCTGTGAGGTGTGAGCTGCACATCTCGCTCCAAACCCAGTTTCTTGTTTTCCCTAGAGCACAGCCACAGGCCCATGAAAAGTTCAAGAGGACAGGAGGAATTGTTTGTAGCTGCTTCCAGCAGTCCACATTCAGAAGAATACTCCCTCTGAATTTGGGGAAGAGATTATGTAGGTTTATTGCTCTATTTAATTTAATTTTCTTCATTCAAGCAGGCAGAACACCAACAGTGATAGTTACTTTTGACATTCTTGAGGGTTCCAATCAGCCTCAAGGTTTTTCTTCCACCTCTCCAATGACCTTTCAGTGATTAATTTTTCTCCAGGAACCTCAGGAATTCCCATGGCCCTAGCAAAGGCAGAGGCCCCTTGGTCAGTCAGCAACATATGGTCCGTCTGAAGGAGAGAAGAGATAAGCAGCCACTCAAATTGCTGCACAAATCAGTTTCAATCCATGTACACACAACCACAGATAAATATAATGGCATTTCAACAGTATACTGTATTTTTCAAAATGCTTATTTAATGCTGTTTGCCAAATGCTTGTGGCCAAATGCTATAGCGCAAAGAAGGGGTGTGCATTTTAATACATACATTCACTTTTGCCTTCCGTTAAAGAATTCTGAACTTGTGGGAAGAATGCCACCAGAAATTAATGCTTATGATGTGCCGACATGATTTCTTTATTTAATTCAAGGGATAGAATCATCTGTCTTCCTTGAAGGGAGGTATGAGAATGTTCTTGTAATGGTGTTTTTTGAAAAGGAAAACCAGAAGAAAATCTATGGAGAAGAGCTGAACTACTTGTCAGGGAAAAATTCTGTCCTTTGTAGCTTTGTTTTATTTTCAATTCTAAGGTATGTATAATACAAGAAACTGGAGAATTCTGCATGGATATGAAGCAGAACAGTTTAAATCAGAACCATTTTCTTTTAGCCATGCAGAAATTGGGACTTTCCTTTGCTGAACTTCTTTTGCAAGATGCCCCCATCTTTCATGTTGCTTTCAGGCTGAAGGCAATTTCATAAGGAGATACACCATTTACACCACTTCTCTTCAAATACTAGAGTTTGTATCCCCTGATTTATTATGTCACACTCTACCTAATATCTTGTTCACAACTTATGCAGATTGTTTCTTTTTTTAAGGTAAGTACCACCAATGGTGCTATGAATCATGTGTGTTCGTGTGTGTAGGCATATAGTATGTAGACTCTGCTACTGTACTGACTCCTTTGTACATGGTAAATTCCCTGAGATTAAGGAAATAAAAGTATTTATTTTGTTTGAGATCATTTTGAACAAAGAAAACTTGTGAACCCCAGACAACACAGACTGCCAAGTGCTGGAGTCCTGCGCTGAGAGCCATACATTATCTTTTGTAAGGCAGAAGGATAATGAGGACAGTTTATTTTTATGAGTCTAGAATGTTCCACACCTGTAGAAAAAAATTGCCTTGTGCACTGCTGCCCTCTTCTGCTTTTGCTTTCAAAACGAACTCCACAGCTGTTCATGTGAAAGGAAGCCACTTTATGGTTAACAGGCCTAATTTTCCGACAGTGTACATAAGACTGTCATCTTAGGGGAAAATATCACTATACAATAGTTAATATACTTAGAGACTGGAGATTCAAATAAAAATAAAACTGAGATAAAGCAGTATATTTATTAGCCAACTGAAGGCATGCATGACACTTCATTGTTTTTAAAAGAATTGTTAGAAGCATTTCAAGAAGATTGTATGCTTTGGGTGGCATATTGTTATCAAAATGTAAGATGTGCTGATTTTAGTCAGTTGAATTCGCACTCCCATTTCAAAAACGCATATATACATATATACACGCACACTTGAAAGACAGCAATAAGACCTGCATTATATTTTTAATTATAAATCATTGAAAATGTATGGAAATCTATGAAACTCTGTGTTTGCATATGTTTCACCTTCATCTTGCTTAATGAGCATGAGATTTCATTTAACTCCTCCTGTATCTAGCTGTTGCTGAGGTCTCCTTATGAATCCAAAACAGCTACTGCCTTGAACTGTTATAAACTAGATGCTTTAATTATGAAAACCCTAAGGTACAACTTATGCTGGCTGGATTGGATCTGCAGGATACAGTGGGCCTGAAACTTCAGTTAAAGAACTGTGCACAACAAAGATAAAACAGTTCCATGATGCAGGTAGCTGTATGTGAATATAACCATAATATTAAATCAAAGAACACAGAAAGTGTTTTCCTGCATTCTGTTGGGATCTTGGTTTTATGACTGTTAAATGTTACTTAAAACTAGATATTAGGAACGCTCCAGGGTTTGTTTTTTTGTTTTTTACTTAATACTATTCTACCTTCTTCCAATTTCCTCAAAGCTTAGCATGGAGCATGTGTACATCACAGAATTTTTATTTACTTATCAAGCATATGTCAGAAGTTACAAATTCAAATAACAGTAATTGCAACTTCTGTTTAGTTCAGGGATGGGCAATTTTTTGCTATGGAACTCTGACACACAGCACAGGATATACAGAATATTTAGGTTCCTTTCTTTTTTAGTGAGCCCTCATTCAACAAGTGCAGGTTTACTGTATACCCCAGTCTATTCTGGAGAAAGCCACACTGTACTTTATTTTGGGGGGGGGGGGCAGGATCACAACAATGAAGTCACACTGTTAGCATTTTTTTCCCATTACAGGTTTGATTCTTCAACAATCAGGTTTATCCTAATCCTATTAATTTTCTTAATACAAAAAACAATGTACTGCAAATGTTTTCTGTATGTTCCCCACTCCTGAAATGAATATGACCTGGCCCCAAACGTGTGAGATTTTTTCAGTGCAAGTAATGAAAATACCTTACAGGAACCTCCATATTTTGGTAGATTTTCAGAAACTATTTTTTAATAGATCTGTCCTGAGGAATTGCAAGCTTATGAAAGTAAATATTCTGCATGACTTAATGAACAATATCTCAAAGGACTGCTTAACAAGATAGACTCAAGGATGCTGTTGGACCAAATCTCTTTTAGCCAGTAGATGGAGCTAATATTGTTCCATGAATAGATACATGGCCTTGATCATTTTAGAAACTTTGAAAGGACCAAGCAGAATTTGTAAGAAAGATTTTAATATCGTGATTACCATTTTGACATTTTTTAAAAGAAATCCCACATTTCAATTTTTCATGAGTTAGAAAACTTAAGAATCTTTACTAAAGTTTTAAAAAATCTTTCCTCATTAACATGTGATAGCACAATATGTTTTTATATGTGGGACACAGAATGTGGCCACAGCATAGAGTATTCATTCTGTTCTTACTGGACTGCTTTTGAACTCCTCTTTTAAGGTGTATATTCTACCTGCAATGATTATTGTACTTTTTCCAAACTTGGAGAGCCTCCAAATCTACCAACCCTTCTCCTTTGTGTATAGATAGTACAGTTTTGACTTCACAAAGACTAACCCTTGAAGAATGAATTCGTGTAAGGAAAGGAAATAATATAGGAGTATGCTAAAGGTCTATCACAATTAGTACAGAGCATGACATAAAAAACTAGAAAGCTTTGAGTGTAGTAGAAAGGTGCTAGAATATTCTGCAATATATTAAGAAAAACACCATAGGGGTTCAAGCACTTTCTTGTACATTATAGTTAAAAGGATGTTTAATGATATGTCAGAGGCTAAAATACATGTGGAATAGAAAAATGAAGCTCCAAATGTTATAAGTTCAGATGCAAACTCACTGAAAATAATGTGCTGGATGATGTTTCCCAGGATTGTCTGGGAAATCAAAGGCCAAAAATTTGGTATAGGTCAGCTGCTTGGAGCTTATACTTGGGAAGTAATAGACTGTACTGTAATTTAAATCTGCTGCAATTTATCCTACCATTTTATTGACTTTTGTCTGGATATACCCTTTAATTGCTTGTTAAAGACAAATACATACAAATTTTAATTGCTGGTCAGCATTTGTATGGAAGGTAAATGAATATAATTAGTAAAGAAAAGTCTAGTCTTAAATTTATCAGGTGATGTAGGTAAAAGCAATAAGCTTTGCAAAGACATTTTGGCAATTGCAGTCCAATACATCTAGAGAACTTCAAATTAGGAAAAGCTCTTATAAATACATTTAAAGCCCTGCAAAAAATCCATTTAAGAGAGATCATAGGAGATTATTATGCTCCCCATTAGCCGTTGAGCACTAACATACCATTACCAACCCTAAATAAAATTGTCTGTCTACCTTTAAGTTCATGGCCTCATACAGAGTTACAATTTCTTCCAACAAGCTATAAGAACTTGGTTTATGGGAGGCGGAGCTGGCGTCGCGGCGGTACGGTGTGCGATCTGGAGTTCCCAAGATCGCAGCTGATATCTCCGATGCTGGACGGTCCCGAAGGACCTAAGCCGTCCCGTAGAGACGGCGACTAGATAGGGCACGTCCTGTTGATCCCAGGGATATCGCAAAATCTCTGGTTGATCCGGGAGAAGCCCTGAAACCAGCGACGGAGTGGCAGCCATTGAGACTGCAAAAGCCGGGACAGCTCCAAACGGAAGAAGAAAGTGTGCCAACCGGGTGAGATGGACCTTTGTTATTCAATTTTGCTTAGAGAACACCCTAAGTAATCCAAAGTGTTTTTAAAAGTGAAGAAAAGTGGGACTAAGCGGCGAGATTAAG